AGGGGTGTGGGGCCGTGTACATCACTGCCCCCCCCCTCCTCCCTCTGGCGCTGAGTGGTGCGTCCCTCAGCTGGGCCGTCACGGGAGAGGTGAAGGGGGGCAGTGACGTAGACAGCCCTGCCCCCTGGCCATGTACGTCACTAATTGGCTAGTTTTATACATAAGGGCTAATTAGGAAGAAGCTTGATCCAGTGGGTAGGACACAGGACTGGGATTTGGGAGACCTGTTTTCTATTCCTTTCTCTTGTCATCACCTATAGCCCCCAACTTAAACCCCTCCAGCACATCATTAACAATCTACAACCTATACTGGAAAATGACCCCTCACTTTCACGGGCCTTGGGAGACAGGCCAATCCTTGCCTACAGACAACCCCCTAACCACAAACAAATTATTTTCAGCAACCACATAATACCTCCAACATACTCATCCAGGAACCCACCCCTGCAATCAACTCTGGTGCCAACTCTGTCCACACATCTCTACTAGCAACATCATCATAGGTCCTAACCACATAAGCCACCACATCACAGGCTCCTACAGATGCACATCCACCAATGTGATCTGTGCCATCAAGTGCCAGCATTGCCCCTCTGCCATGTATATTGGCCAAACTGGACAGTCTCTACGACAAAGTATTAATGGACTCAAATCAGATATCACTAATGGTAACACACAGAAACATAAAAACATAAGAACGGCCGTACTGGGTCAGACCAAAGGTCCATCTAGCACAGTAACCTGTCTGCCGACAGTGGCCAGCACCAGGTGCCCCAAAGGGGGTGGACCGAAGACAGTGATCAAGCGATTTGTCTCCTGTCATCCTTCTCCAGCCTCTGACAAACAGAGGCCAGAGACACCATTTTGATCCCCTGGCTAATAGCCTTTTATGGACCTAATCTCCATGAAATGATCTAGCTTCTCTTTAAACTCTGTTATAGTCCTAGCCTTCACAGCCTCCTCTGGCAAGGAGTTCCACAGGTTGACTACACGCTGTGTGAAGAAGAACTTTCTTTTATTAGTTTTAAACCTGCTACCCTATAAACACTTAGCCCTTCCAACAGCTAATTCCAAAAATCTGACAAATTATCATCAAACACGACTGGGAGGAAAAAATTATATAGAGAAATGTGAATACAAATTAAGAGTTACTGAAGAAAATCGTATTGGATTGTTACAAATCCAAGATTCCAAATGTGAGGAAACAGACAATTTTGGAGAAAACCAGAGTTTAGTGGTGAAAGGAAAGCAGCAGATAGTAGGGGATAAAATATTTAACAAATGGGAAAAAGGGAAACCAGACAGCAAGCAATAGAAACTGAAAATTATGACAATTGAAATGAGATATTAAATAAATCAGGGGGAAATTCATGCTTGGCAGGGCCAAGAATTATCAAAAGGAGATTATGTATAATAAGAACAAAAGAAATCCAAGAAAAGTGCTTGGCCAATTCCTAGTGGGAGAAAGGAAACGTGTTAATATTCCATAAAAAATATGTGTTCAAGAAACAGCATTGTTCTGCATTCAGAAAGAAATAGCATGAGGCACTGAAGAAATACTTTCCATCCATTAACTGTCAAGAAGCATGTTCAGCAGCTTCTACAGTAGAACCTTTGAGAAATGAGCACCAGCGATATGAATTGGCTGATTAACCGCACATCTCATTTGGAATGAGACTATGCTGCCAGGCAGCAGCAGAAGCAAAAAAGAGAAATCATGGGACAGTTCTCTGTCAAATGCAAACTATTAAAATAAACAGAAAGTTTGAAAGAAAAGTTTGGACAAGGTGAGGAAACAGTGTAGAATTTGGTATGGAATTAGTTAAAAGAGTCTAGGAATATAATTAATTCCAGGCAACAGCATGATTTATGGAACATGGGACGTGTCAAATAAATCCAGTTTCACCTGCCGATGGCTTTTTCGATGAGCTTTGGCAGTGTGGATGCTCTCTTCTGGAAAAGCTTCTTCGGAAAGAAGCCTACCCCCTAGACTTAGCCTCAGAAACCAGCCAGAGCCCTGACATTCAAACTGGGGTGGTGACAGTGTCTGTCCATCCGCACACAGACGGCTCCTGAGGTCTTTTTTCAGCTCTTACTCCAAGGGGCGATTTATGTGGCCAGGGCCTCAAAGGTTGCCATCGTATTGTGCATCTACTTACAGCTTTCCCAGGAAATACCCACTCGGCCACAGAAATGCAGCCGCCTCGTGGCGGGAGGCCGTTAGCTGGTCTGGGCAGCGGGGGCACACCCAGGAGTCACATTTTGGCTCATGATACCTGAGCAAACTCATTTCCTGTAACAAGGGCACTGGGAGGTTTAAAGCTCCGCAGAGCAGAAAGGCCCCAGACTGTCTCCCTGTCCTACCACGCCCGCCTTCCACTTGTTGAGCAGGGGAGCC